CTATCTGATTGGTCGTGTGTGAGCTAAGTTGCAAGCCCCGTGTTTAAAGGTGGAAGTGGTCACCTTCCCAGCTAGGCTCAGGGATTCTTAGTCTGCCTAGGAAATCCAGGTAGTCCTGTCTCTCAGAACCTGGTGGAGGTAACTGGATCATGGGGGCAGTTTCTCCCATGCAGTTCTTATGATAGTGAGTGAGTCTCACATGATCTGATGGTTTTATCAGTGTCTGGCATTTCCCCTGTTGGCACTCACTCTGTCCTACCATCTCATAAAGAAGGTCCCTGCTTCTCCTTTGCCTTCCACCATGATTGTAAGTCTCCTGGAGCCTCCCCAGCAATGCAGAACTGTGAGTCAATTAAACCTCTTTCCTTTATAAATTACCCAGTCTCGGGTATTACTTTATAGCAGCATGAGAACAGACTAATACAACCAACATTCATAAAACTGTGGCAGGCAATTTGAATAAAATTGCAGCTATAGAGAATGTCGTATAGTACATATTTACCTGTGGAAACTGGAAAGCATTTTTTTATTTGCAGGGGCAGATATAAGTAGAAAAATCACCTTACTTACTTTTGTAAGTTAGTTTATACAAAGTAGACATAGTACATTAGGCCAGTGAGAATTTAAGTCTTGTAATTCTTATCTCTCAACATATGGTGTCACTCCTTCTCCGCCAACAACTACCCACTCTTACTTGGTAAAGCTGCCACACCTGGGATTAGTTAGGCCTAAAAAATGGCTAAAAATACCTTTATCATAGAAGGATTTTAGAAAGTATTTTCTTAGTTGTTGCTTCTGGCATTACCAGGGCTGTCATGCATCCACGAAATTGCTGTTTGGTGCCACTGGTAGCTAATGTCCCCATTCAATAACATACAATAAACATATTCACTGTGTTATGAAAAAGTCCACTACAGTCACCACTTCAAGTCTTAATGCCTACTAATTTAGCAATTATAGTGATAGCAAAGCATTCCAAAGGTTTAAAAGAGTTCCAATTCTGGTTAAAATCAAAATTGAGGAGCAAGAGCTTGATATAAAAGGTACAAATCAAACTAATCTCAGAGTTGCCTTTGTAAAACAGATGGGTGAATTTTATCTTTTATTATTTGGTACTGATCAGCCACCTAGTGTTAATTTAAACTCTAATTACAGCTCTCTCAAATTATTTTTCTTGGGGGAAGTGGGCTGTTAAGATTTTTGTTGGGGGTAGAAAGGGAAATGATAAATTTCATATGTTATATACTCCTACTTTTCCTTTAATACCAAAACAGGCCATCCCACAAGTATAAAAGCATTTAGGCTAGGTAGGAAAAGAAAAAATGATAAAGAGAAAGAAGAAAAGCATAGTGATAACATAAAAATCAAAAGTTGACCTTAAAGCTTACTTTATATAAATTATTATTATTTTGAGACAAAGTCTCACTCTATTGCCCAGGCTGGAGTGCGGTGGCATAATCTCGGTTCACTGCAACCTCCGCCTCCCTGGTTCAAGGGATTCTCCTGCCTCAGCCTCCTGAGTAGCTGAAATTACCGGCACCTGCCATCACGACCAACTAATTTTTGTATTTTTAGTAGAAACGGGCTTTTACCATGTTGGTCAGGCTGGTCTCTAACTCCTGACCTCAAGTGATCCGCTGGCCTCAGCCTCCGAAAGTGCTGGGATTACAGGCGTGAGCCAGCGTGCTCCACCTTACTTCATATTAAAAAAAGTGGAAGGAAAAGTAACCCACATATGTCAGTTAGCTGTACCATCCTGAAACAAGAGGATAGTTTAGTAGCTAGATATAAAGGACTAAATATTTCACTTTGGAAAGGCCACTGTTCTTTTTTTTCAAAGTCAGGAGAACATTTCATCCTGACAAGCAGTTGTTGAAAGAGTGTAAGGGTTACAGCGCTCAGTAAGGAAACCAAAGGTTTGTAAATGTCTGGAACATAGCAGGTTAAGGAAGTGTGATGCAGAAAGGGCTGCTACTCAATTTTTTTGCCTGAGGCCTGCCAGTATGAGCTAACCTGAGGAAGTCACAGACAGTTTTATCACAACCAGTAATCTTTCTTCCCTGAAGCAGGGAGGGACAGTGGGCCAAAAAGTCTCAATTGCAGAAAAGTTCTTTGAGTCTTTGGGTCTGTAATCTGTTCCTACTGTTTATCTCAATTCTCTTAACTCTCTAAACTCTTGTTAGATATTTATCTTCCTTTTCTTCCTTGTTCATTTCCTATACATAAAAATGCAACAGCACAAGTGAATGCAAATCAATGATTAGTTTTAAAATAAAAAAAAATTGCTTTGCATTAATTAATTAATTAAAATTTTTTGAGCATCTCACTATATCACCCAAGCTGGAGTGCAGTGGCACAATTTTGGCTCACTGAAATCACCACCCCCTGGGTTCAGGTGATTCTTTTTTTTTTTTTTTTTTTGAGACGGAGTCTTGCTCTGTCACCCAGGCTGGAGTGCAGTGGCCGGATCTCAGCTCACTGCAAGTTCCACCTCCCGGGTTCACGCCATTCTCCTGCCTCAGCCTCCCGAGTAGCTGGGACTACAGGCGCCCACCACCTCGCCCGGCTAGTTTTTTTTTTGTATTTTTAGTAGAGACAGGGTTTCACCGTGTTAGCCAGGATGGTCTCGATCTCCTGACCTCGTGATCCGCCCGTCTCGGCCTCCGAAAGTGCTGGGATTACAGGCTTGAGCCACCGCGCCCGGCCGGGTTCAGGTGATTCTTATGCCTCATCCCTCCAAGTAGCTGGAATTACAGGTTATCACTCCTGGCTAATTTTTGTATTTTTAGTAGAGATGGGTTTTCACCATGTTGGCCGGGCTGGTCTTGAACTTCTGACCTCAGATGATCTGTCTGCCTCAGCCTCCGAAAGTGTGGGATTATAGGTGTGAGCCACTGCACTGGGCTTTGCCTTGCATTTAGATAAATTAAGTAGGATAGTAGAATACAGGGAGAAGATGGTGAGACTCAGAACTGCCACTTTCAAGTTATGAAGCCTTGAACAAATCATGTACACCTCTGAACTTCAATTTTTCCCCATCTATAAATGCAGATAATAATTTCGACTGCAATGAAGATTAAATGATGGCTCACAACCTCCACAGCTCTATGTATATGGAAGATATTGTGGCTGAAGGTGACATTGTTTCAACTGAATACACCTTCTAAGTGAACACATTAGTTTTTTTAACTCTAAAAATGTTTAAAAATATTTAGATTTCAAATATGTTCTCTCAATTCTGTCATCTATTTGTTAACTTTGTCTATAGTAATGTATGTAAAACCCCAAGCCTTTATTTTGATGCAATTTCTTCAATTTTTTGACATACAATTTGTACTTTCAAAATGTTGTAACATAAGTTATTCCTCCATCCCTCAGTATTAAAATATTCTCCTCCACAATTTGCTATTAATTTCACATTTCAATCTTTCCCATGTAGGCCTTTAATGCATCTGGAGGTCTTCCTTTTAATGCAGTGTTCAATTTTCTCCAGATGGTTAGCCTATTTTCTTTTCCCCATTGATTTGTTGAACCACATTTTATTGTATATTAAGGTTAGAAGTGATGTTGATATTGCTCATCCAGGAAGCACTGTTTGATTAGCAAGATTCTAAACAATGTGAGTTAGCACCTAGTTGAAAGAATTGATAATAATGGATGAGGGTGAATTTAGAATATGAGGGTAATATGTTGTATTATTAAACATATCAATCAAGAAGGAAATAAAAATCATGCTTATTGAAAGTTTTCAGATGACAAAATGGGGATGGTCTTAGTAACTAGAAAAATACACATATAGAAATTACTCTTATACAGCACCAGTTCACAGACACACCTGTAGATTCCCTGAGCTAAATATCTATAATATAGAAACAAACTTTGATTAGGTGATACTGAAAGTTTAAGTACTTAAAAACACCCATCACCAGGCGGCTATTGAACAGCGCCTTGAAGTCCTGCTTTAAAAAATGATTTTATTGGTCGGGCGCAGTGGCTCACGCCTATAATCCAGCACTTTTGGAGGCTGATGTGGGCGGATCACCTGAGGTCAGGAGTTTGAGACCAGCCTGGCAAAACCCCGTCTCTACTAAAAAATGCAAAAATTACCTGATCGTGGTGTTGCACACCTGTAATCTCAGCTACTCAGGAGGCTGAGGCAGGAGAATCGCTTGAACCCAGGAGGTGGAGGTGGCAGTGAGCTGAGATCATGCCACTTCACTCCAGCCTGGGCAACAGAGCAAGACCTTGTCTCCAAAAAATAGAACAAAATAAAATTAAATTAAATAGAGTTTATTGCCTGTTTCCAACAGTTCTCTGCAGGAAAAAAATCCAATGATTATATCCATTTCGTTGCGAATAAGACGGGCACCAGTTTACCTATGTACCTGAGGAAATGCTATGGAAATGGTATTTTTCAATATTATTCATCAGTATATTAACGAATATATGACTGAATAATTCATACTGAATTCAAATCAGTTGGAGATGGGCTATAAATGCAAATTAGCTGAGGATTGAATGTGCGTAGGAGATGTATAGGGGGTTAGAGGACCTTTTAAATTCCCCCAATAGTTGTGGTTTGGGTGGTTCTGTGTCTTTGCTTTTCATTTTTAAATAGGTCAATTAAAGGAAAGGCCTGCAGCGTGTGGGGATCAGGAAGAAGGCAGATAAAAAACAGGGGGAAACTAGTCTGTTATTCAAGAGAACTGGCTTTCGCTTGTGCTTTCTCCTGTTTGGCTTGAACAAATCATTTCACCATCTGGGCTTCCGTTTCGATACTGGGTGGGGAGGAACGGGTGTTACAAGATCTCTCAGTTGTCTTGCTGCTTTTCTTCTTCGTGAGCCCTCCCCAAGTTGATTTAACAAATTCTCTATAACCTAGAGTCCTAGAGTGTAACTACTACAGTCCAGGTGACCGGTCAGCGGGCCTCCTTGCGCATGCGCTGATGAGGCACCCTCTCGTTAAGGCCGGAATTTTGCCTCTGCTGCGCACGCGCCCCTTTTAAATCCCCCACCTGTCAGAGAGAGGCAGGACTTCCTGTATTTTTTAGAGCGACTGCCGGAAGTGGCAGCGGACAAATCGGCGTTTGCGGAGGCTCGCATAGATTTGGCTGTCTCCGCTCGTAGCTGCTTTTGGCGCGAAAGATGCCGGGTCTGGTCGACTCAAACCCTGCCCCGCCTGAGCCTCAGGAGAAGAAGCCGCTGAAGCCTTGCTGCGCTTGTCCGGAGACCAAGAAGGCGCGCGATGCGTGGTCAGTGTGCAGCCGGAGTGGGCGCGGCCGACGAGCCTCGGGCCGCGGCCTGTGCCTTCCGGTGCCTCTGCCCTACGCCCTCTGCCCTCTGCCCTTTTCCTTCCCCTCTTACCCCCTCCTCTTCCCTGCCTCCTACCCCCCTCCCCGCCCCTTCTTCCCCCTCCCCGCCTCCTCCCCCCTCTCCCCGCCCGATTGCGGCGCTCTGGAGATAATTACTGGGCCTCGTAGGTTTCCTGGTCGGCTCTCTGTTGACTTATCCGGTGGCTTAGTCCCGGGAAGCGATGAAGAAAGAGGAGAACCGCTAGCTTCAACCACTCATTCCTTCCTACAAATAAATGTGTTTTGAGTATCTGTTCTGGGTTAAGCACTGCGTTAGGTCCGAAGATGTAGACATGGATAAAGATGGGTCTTGATATAAAGGAGCTTAAAGTTAATGGAGACATACCAATGACTTGTATACCACGTGGTAAGGGCTATGATAGAAGATTTGTTAAGACCAAACAGGAAAGGTTTTCTGGTAAATTCTAAGGCTTCCTCCCAAAATTTAGAGACAGTAGGACACGGTGCGTTCCTTACAGTTCTGAAGAGCTCCCCTTCAACCCTTTTAAGGCAACCAAAAGTTGAAAATCAACGTCTATGGCGCAGGGGACACAGTATTCAGAATAGTTCATCTAGATTGTCAGTCCACAAAAGGTCTGTTCTTATTTTATATATCCTCTTTTGTGGAGCAAATCTCGTTAGAGGACGTCCTCAGATAACGTGAATGTGCGTCTCTTCCTCTGGCCCCTTTTGTCTTCGCAAATAATACATATAAGAAAGAAATCATTAGTGCTGTGATGGGATAATAAGAGTGTAGGAGCTCAGTGCTTTTATTAATCCTCAGTATTTTGTAAATAATACTGTGAAGGCAGGATTGAAAGACTGCCGTCTGAACAAATTGTTCCAGTGGTAACAGTAAGTGCTATTGAACCTTGAGTAGTATGACAGCATGATTAAGAGTCTGGGATCCACAGTCAAGGTTTGAATCTTAATCCACTAACTTGGTGACCTTGAGCCTCATGTGTCTATAAAATGACTAATAAAAGAAACTCCCTCCAGTATTATTGTAAAGGTTAATGGTACAAACCATGTCAAGTGCCTAGCACAGTGTACATGGCAATAAATGATCAATGAATGCTAGCTATTACCTTCACAATGATCTCACTCTCCCAGGCAATCTCTGCCATTTGCAGGCAGCTCTTGAGCTATTGAAGGATGGGTCGAGTTTCGATGGAAGGAGAACCTATTCCCTTCTTTAAATTCCTTTTGCCTCGATTGCCTCAGACCACGTGGGTTCTCCCCAAATATCCGTAGTCAGGAGTCAGTTTTTCCTTGTAATTGAGTTTGGCTTAACTTGATTATTTGCTAAATCACATTTTCAGGCCTTAGAAATAAAGCTGTGTAGTGCTAGTCTTGTCTTTGTGAATTTTACAAGTAAAATGTTCTTTCATCATCATGAGGGGGTGCTCATCTTGGTCTCCTGGCTACCAGATGTTTTTGGTGTTTATGTTTTTGATGTCTTGTAATTAGAAGTAGACTTATTTGGTTGTATTTGAATGTAGGGCAAAATCAGAAAGTTAATTTCTCCATGATAAGCAAAAAATTGATCTGTTTTCTGTGCCCTTCATTTAGCATAAATGTTTTATTCAGTCAGTTTATTTCTTTATAGAGCAATGTTACTCCTTGGATATTGACTAGAAGCAATATTTAATATGGATGATTATTTCTTATCAGATTTACCCCCTAAAATCACTTATCTGTGTAATGTCTTCATAGGCATGAAAATATCATAAGATCAAATAAAAACAAAGCTGGCTGAGGTAATAGCATTTGTTTTAACTCCAGCTACATTCCATTATACCCATGTTTTGTCTCACTGCCCATCACTATCATGCATACTTAATAATGTGCTTAATGCCTATTTAGATAACAAGTACCTTTTGTTTTATAGTATCATCGAGAAAGGAGAAGAACACTGTGGACATCTAATTGAGGCCCACAAGGAATGCATGAGAGCTCTGGGATTTAAAATATGAAATGGTAAGCTTCTTGCTTCAAATTTGTGTATTGCTTTACAGATTTAGCAACAGTTGGGCTACATTCTCTCTGAAATGTAGTTCACCTCGTTAATCTAAAATGCTTAAGTATCAATTTGAAAAAACCATGATTTTTCAGTTCCCAGTGAAGGGAGTAAATTATGTCAGTAAAGACAGGCATTTAGCAGATTGGGGAAGGCGAGAATCGAGCTTTTAAGAAAGGGTTTGACAACAGTCTTTAGGTCTCATGGCTTTAGGAAAATTGTCTGACTGAAGGAACTAAAAGAAAAATATTCTCTTTTCTTGTTTCTAATATTGTGAGACTTCAGTAAATGCTTTTTTTTTTTTTTTCTTTTTTTTTTGAGGCAGGGTCTCACTCTGTAACCCAGGCTGGGGTGAAGTGGCCCAGTCACAGCTCACTGCAGCCTTAACCCCCCAGGCTTGGGTGATCCTCCCCTCAGCCTCCTGAGTAACTGGGACTACAGGTGTGGGCCACCATGCCTGGCTAATGTTTTGTTTTGTTTTTTAGAGATGGGGTTTCGCCATCTTGCCCAGGCTGATCTCAACCTCTTGGACTCAAGCAGTCCTCCTGCGTTGGTCTCTCGAAGTGCTGGGGTTAGAGGTGTGAGCCACTATGCCTGGCCAATGAATGCTTTTAAGTAGGGAGTAGGTATCCCATGGAAGTATTGCTCTCTGAAAAATGAAAATGGAATTGTAGTTATTTCTTTTGTGCCATGCTTTATTCGAATAAAACTAAAGCCTCAGGCCCATTTTTTTTTTTTAATTAAAAGTAAACTTTAATGTCAAAAATGCAAACTTGGGGAAGACAGAAAAGATCACACACAATGCTGTCACTTCACACTTGGAAGGTTGCACAGCAGCTGGGCAGAGGTGCTCCTCACTTCCCAGACAGTGGGGCAGCCGGGCAGTGGCCCTCTTCACTTGCCAGGTGGGGCGGCAGCTGGTCAGAGGCGCTCCTCACTTCCCAGACAGGGTGGAAGCCGGGCAGAGACGCACCTCACTTCCCAGACGGTGGCAGCTGGGCAGAGGTGCTCCACACTTCCCAGACAGTGGGGCGGCCCTGCAGAGGCGCTCCTCACATCCCAGACAGGGTGGCAGCCAGGCAGAGGCGTTCCTTACTTCCCAGACAGTTGGGTGGCTGGGCAGAGGCGCTCCTCACTTCCCATCCCAGAGACAGGGTGGCAGCCAGGCAGAGGCGTCTTACTTCCCAGATACAGTTGGGTGGCTGGGCAGAGGCGCTCCTCACTTCCCAGACAGTTGGGTGGCTGGGCAGAGGCGCTCCTCACTTCCCAGACAGTTGGGTGGCTGGGCAGAGGCGCTCCTCACTTCCCAGACAGTTGGGTGGCTGGGCAGAGGCGCTCCTCACTTCCCAGACAGTTGGGTGGCTGGGCAGAGGCGCTCCTCACTTCCCAGACAGTTGGGTGGCTGGGCAGAGGTGCTTCTTACTTCCCAGACAGTTGGGTGGCTGGGCAGAGGTGCTCCTTACTTCCCAGATGGGGTGGTGGACCTCAGGCCATTTTTTAAAAGAACTTGGAACTCTTAATCCAAATTTAAGTGCTGAAAGGGACCTTAAGTGATATGTGTCCAACAGTTCCACAAACAAATGATATTCTTTTGTTTGGAAGCTCTTTCTTCAGTTATCAACTTAGCTCACCTCCCCCCCCCCACACCCCCTTTACTCAGTTCTCTTCAAAAGTCTCCTTATTAGAGAGGCTTTCCCTCAACGCCCCATGTAAATTACATCCCTTGCCCATCATGGTGCTGTCCTAACAGAGCTTTCTGTGAACATGGAAATGTTTTGTATCTGCACTCGCCAGTCTGGTAGCCACTAGCCTTATGTGGCTGTTGAGCACTTGAATTGTGGCTGGTAAGACTGAGGTACTGAATTTTTAGTTTTTAAAAATTTTAATAGCTACATGTGGCTAGTGGCTACTCCATTCTATACACTGTCACCTACATATTATATATATTTTTAATTATCTGTGTTGCTTCACGGCAGCTAGAATGTAAGCTCTGAGAAAGTAGGAATTTTCTATTTCATTGACTGTCATATCCCCACTACCTATAACAGTGCCTGGCTCATAGTAGGTGCTCAATGGAGGATTGTTAAATGAATGAATAAATAAGGAAATTAAAGCCAATGGTTATGAAATGACCCCTAAGGTGGGTTGTGCAGTATCAGAACTGGAGCCTCAGTCTCCAGGCCGATTCCCTCTGCTTTTTGCCCCTACCCTAACTTCCACACCACTCTACCACTTTTAACTTAATAACAGCTGAGAGATAATGCCAAAGCCATATGCCAATATTAGTACTGGAGAGCCTGGCTTCTTTCCCTTGCACCTCTTTCCTGCCTCTTTGGAATTTCACATATGGCCGGTCTTCCTCACTGAGCTATAAAAAAGAAGGGATAAGGAACTTGTCGCAAGCTGATAAAAAGTTACTGTGTAATGGAAAACAGTCTAGGCTGAAAGTCTTGAGGCTTTATTTTTATTCTTCTGATATTTAGTTTAGCATGTTTTTCACTTTAGCTACATTTAGCTTCATCAAGACATTATTCCTCTGAATTTCACGTATTATTTATAAAAAGAGAACCATAATATATTTTGTGATTCTATATATAGTATGGTATATCTTCTTTCATGTATATGATACGCTTAAGTAGCTTTTAGACTAGATGGTTATTTAAAGAAATGCCGTAATGAACTATTTTGTAAAATAAGTAAATTTGAAGGGGAGTGTGTTCTTAAAAAGGGTAAGTGTACTTTATTAACTATTTTTAAAGATTCAGCCTCAACATTTGTACGTGGTTTCCTTGTTCATGATCTAAGTCCCTCATCAGTTGCATAAGCTGTAGGCTTGTGCTGAACCTGCCTTGATAAAAAAGGGTGATTTAAAAAAACGCTAATTTTAGGAATATCAAAAGCTTATCTTGGACTTCATCTGAACCACAAAGGTGGTACAATTGTTATAAGTGACATATATTCAAAAATACCATATGATATCATAGTTTTCTTTATGTTATTGGGACAGAGAGCGAGAATTATGTCTGCGTACTTCATTTGTGTGTAAAAGAAAATGCAAAAGCTTTAGACTTAGAAAATCTACTGTTTAACTGATTGTGTGGTCTTGGGCAGGTCCTTAACTTTCTGTACCTTGGTTTCCTCATCTGTAAAATGGAGACAATAATACATGCCCCAACTACTTCATAGAGTTGTTGTGATGATTAAATGTAAAATAAATCATCTGTAAAAACCAGAACAGAATAGCTCATACCTTGAGAATTGTAGATAGCAGACATTCATTTGAGGTCTGTTAAGTGTATGACTTGATTATTATTGAATCCTGGTTACAGGAAGAACAATCGGAATCCATGTAGGACCTTTCTAAGAATTCAAACTGCATGTTCTTCATTTTCAGTGTAATAATATTTTTGGAAGAGGACTGGGTGTTGGATCCTCGTTGGTCCCAGGTGTCCTATTTCCCCAGCCTCCATGGGGAAATGGAGGCACAGTGAAGTCAAAAAAGACTTGCTCAAGTTAAGAGTGGATAGTGGTCAAATTACATTACAGTTCAGATCTTTTATATTCTCCAAATCACAGGCACTTTACACTTCACTCCTTGTATTTAATGAGATTTTATTCCAACATGTTCATTTTTAGAATTGCACATAATCTTGATCTTCAATCTTAAAACCTCATTATGAATGCTAATTAGAAAGACCTGTTGCTGAAATGTACAGTTGCATATAACCGAGTAAACAGGCCATTGGCTGGAGGGTGAAATCCAGCACAACTGTCTGCATTGCTATAAGATAAACTTAACCTAAATTGGTATTTCTTAGACTGTTAGATCACATTTTTCTGAGAATAGCTTCAAAGGAAAAATATTTTGCAAACTTAGATCTTTCTGGCAATGATCATGAAAGTTCCTGAATTCAGAAATCTTTGTAGATTTTGATGTTATTCCTAAGTAGATCTTAATTGTACCTCGAGTACAGTAGATTGGGAATAAATCTATTATACATTTTTTATACTTAATGTGAAAGTAGGCTACATTCACCCAGTAGTTCTTACCCAGAGGTGCACCTCAGAATCATCTGAAGAATGTTTTCCAAAATTCACCACTTGGGCCCTGGTCTGCACCTGTTGACTGAGAAACTCCTAGATAATTTTCAAGTGCACTCCTCTTTAACAAGCACTGGCCTAAGTTGAAGACGAATAGCAGAGATAATGCTAGACGTAAATTATCTGAAAATTTAGTAGTAGCAAAGGCAGAAACTTGAAAACTCAAGAAAAAATGGGTATGGTGGTGATTTTAGACAATTTTTTCTATTTTATGACTGCTGCTTTTACTGAAAAGAGAAATTACAAGAACCTAGAACCTCATTAGAAATATAAGGAGGAAATGGATGGCTACTGTCTTTCTGCCTTTAGGAGTCAGAAGAAGCCTAAAAAACCCATTTTGGAGACTAGAGTCATTGAAAGAAATTAAAGGACTAGTACTGAGTAGTGGTGATATTCAGTATTAAGTTTAACAGCTTAACAGTTGGGTGCTTAAAATATGCTGAATTTTACGCACACACACACAAAACTGATTATGTATGAAAATCTGATCCCAAGATAATCCAGAAAGAGTAATTTCTGCCATTCAAACGTTTATTCATTCAACAGATATTTATTAAGACCCTGGAAAATGCCGAGGGGGAAAGATTATCCCTCCAGTCAAGGACTTTACATCCAGAGATATAACCAAACAGGTTTAAATCCAAGGTCTTCTACCAGGTAGCCCCTTTTGATATGTAGTCAGTAGCAAAAGTGGTAACAATGCTATGAGCTGCTATAATTGAAAGGTTGAATGGCTTCGCTTTTGGTTGTCTTTCCAAGCTTTTCTATAAATGTATTCTTCCTTTGAGCCTTTTAGAAAAGAGAGAGTTTAGATGTTTGTGTCTTGATGTGGTTTATCTTTATCTAAACCAAATGAAGTGAACAGCTAAATGAGGCAAGTATTTGCATTAGACTTGAAGAGTTAGCTACTCCAATTTAATTACCTTCCTACCATTGTTCTCAATCTTCTGGGATAGGCATTGGGAGCAGTGTGAGAAGCCTGGTATTGACTTGACTGGATCAGCAACCCTATCTATGCTACTCTCCCTTTTTGATTTTTCCAAATGAATGTTAAAAGGTTGCCCTTATCTTGCCTTTGGGATTAAGGGAGTAACTTTCCACAGGAAGTGCCTTGAGTACTGAGCTGACCTTCTGCCTTCTACTTTGTGGATCTTCGCCAGTCATACTTGAATCAGCAAAGAGGGGTTTGCAAGTCTTGTTTCTTGAATATCTGTAAAAATAACTGCTGTAGCCTTTTTTGGAGGATATTTTTGAGAAATACATATTTCTCAAACACATGTATTATTTCTGTATATATACACACACAGAGAGGGAGTTTTTACTTCAAAAACTTTTAAAGAGTAAACAATATCGTAGTAGTTTCACTGATGTTTTTAGTTAGGCAAACCTAGAATTTTAAAATGTTGATTTTGAATTTTATGACTGATTTGGAATAATTCTGGCAATTAGTTAATTACTTATCTGCGGCATTCATTTCTAGTGGTCTTAATTCTCTGACTCCATAGATCTGGCATGATGTTTGAAATCTGACTTTCTAAAATAAATCTTTTTCTGTAGGTGGTCTGCTGTGTGAATAAATAATTCCTGAAGAATGAAGAAGATTAATTTTGGGAGTTCTTTGATGAACTTTGATATGTGGAAAAAGTATTTATAATTTATTTTTAAAAGAAAGTAAAATATTACTAGCGAAAGATCTTCAGTTGTGTTTTTTTGTGTGTGTGCTCCTCATTTGCTTACGTGGCTTTTTTCCCCCAAAGGGTATATATCAACAAATCTTGTAACATAAAGTGCTTATATTCTTATTAAAATGTCATTCTGGGAACTCTGGATATCTGTTGTCAGGAGAAAGCAGATACTGATCTCAACCAATGAAATCTCCAGAATTAGGTGAATAGAAGTAAGAAAAATAACCCTTTACCAATTCAGAATCAGTGTGGTAGCCATATCATCTCCTTCAACACTCTTTTTTTTTTTTTTTTTTTTTTTTTTAAACTTTCTTAAAGGTAAGAACAAGCCTTTAGTCTTATTATTTAAACCATTATTGTTTATTAGCTGTCTTTTGGAAAAGTCAGTTTAGATTTTGGATCAGATTAGGGTGATTTGGCTTGGAAGATCTCAGCTGTTTGGCATTATGAATCTGTACATGGCTAGTTATATTTTAAAATAGACTAGGATACTAGGATTTTAAGTTTTGTGCCTACAGGTTAGACAGTTGTCTCTTAATTAGAAGCTGGCTTAGGCTGGAGACTGAATTGGGACTAAAAGTCACTAATCAAACAGCTCAGTGCTATGCCATGGTGATGTCTGGAGTTGAACAGAGTGTGATTTCCTTAGTATAGCAATCTTGTCATCCTTGTAGCTGCTGATGGGCTAATGAAGTATGGTCATATTCTGCTTGTAAAGTACATTGAGTCTAAAATCTCAAGAACAAAAGATACTGAGAACATAAGAGGATATGTAATGTTCATGTGTCATTGTGTGATGGAAAAAGTCTCTCCTTTATAAAATAAGGAGCTGAATCAGATGATTCCTTAAGATTCTTTCCTAATTCATTAAGAGCATGGCTTTGATTTATGACAGACTTAGGTTCAATAGCTGACTATGTGACCTCAAGCAAGGGATAGCTTTTTTGGGTCTCTTTCTCAGCTGAAAAAAAAAAAAAAAAAAAAACCCAAAAAGCAGGTATAGAAGTAATACCTAACTTACAGGATGGGAAGTACTAATTAAAAATGATGTATACACAGTATTTGGCACTGTTATTAGCATTCTCTTATTTTGTTTATATTTTTACTTGAATATTCATTTGGATATACTTTAGTAAGCACTTTATGATTTACAGACATAATCTACGTGAAGAATAGAATCTTGGACAATTAAGACAGGTATGAACCAACTTCCCACCCAATACAGATCTTTGGCATATGATTATCCAAACTCTGCTTGAATATGTCCTGGAACTACAAAAAATAAAACAAAAAAATCAATAACCTTATCATCCGTTGTTGATTTCTAATGTATACTAGTCCAGACTTTTCCTATGCCTTTATGTATGTTTTAAAACAAAAATAAAATTTTTTCTGTGCTATATATTTTTAATGAAGTTATAACATCATGTTTTGCCCCTAATGTATTTTACCATCAGTGAGTATAGGTCTACAGTGTCATTTGTATTGACTGTATAAATTCATCTGTGACTTAACCATAATTTAACCAATACCCTGTTTTTTCTTTTTGCACATTTGGACATTCATTCATTAAACAAATACTTCATATAGAGTGTCTTCTGTATGTCAGATGCCATTCTAGGAATTGGATCTCAGTCTGGAACAGGATGTATGTCAGATAACCTAAATTCTGAAGTTTTGTTTTATTTTGTTGGTTGCTTTAATGGAAACATTATAAGGAAGAAATATCCTGAAATCCCACCAGTCTACAATAGAACCTCTCTTCAATAGCATTCTCTCTCTCTCTCTCTGTCTCCCTCCCTCCCTCCCTCCTTCCCTCTCTCTCTCTCTCTCCCTCCCTCTCTCCCTCTCTCCCTCCCTCCCTCCCTCCCTCCTTCCCTGCCTCCCTCCCTCTCCCCTCTCTCTCTGTGTGTGTGTGTGTGTGTGTATATACACCTTTTACTTTTTTTTTTCTTTTGGCTACTCTGGTAACACTGCAATAGAAGTCTCCTTATGGAAAGTCTTTACAAGTGTCCTTTACTAATCACTCAGCTAAGGAGGGGCCAGAGGCCATGCATGTTTTCAAGGCTTTGAGTGAGGACTGCCCCCAAATGATCTCTAGGAAAAAAATACGCATTTGCACCTTAGTGTCTCAGAGCACTGATTTCCCTAATCTCTGAGCAACACAATTTTTTAAAACTTGCCAGTTTGGTATGCTTGCCTGATTTGTAAAGGACCTGAAAGCACCCTTTTTGGCCTCTGCAACACTTAAAAGTACATCTCACAAGACCCTCTGCCCACCCTTTCCTAGTGCTTGAGTCTTCCCAAAGATGATGTGCAGCATTTCCATAATAATGATAAGAGGCATCACCACAGTAACTGGAAAAATGAAGAACTTGGCCTCCTAGTGGGTAACAACCACATTCTAATGCACCTCTTTGCTAAGCCTTTGCTCTTCACAATAATGACTAAACTCAATGCGGATATATTCACACTATTCTTTCTAGTCCCCTCTTTGTCTAACCTTGAAATGTTTAACTTGAAGGTTGATGAAAACAGGATCATATCCTTAAGTAAGGCCTATCTTGGGATTACTACGTCTTTCACAGGTCTAATGTGATCTGTGATGTGATGGAAAAACCATGATCCTCATTTTACAGGTGAGGATAGGTGCTCGGAGAGGTTAAGAAAATCACCCTGATCCAATAGCTGGTAACCTGTGATGTAAGTTGAAGCCCAGTATTCTTTGGTGTACTAGTTATCCAGTATAAACATCATGTATTTGTAGTTATAAATTCATTTAATGCATACTTAGTGAAGGCCTGTTATTTGCAGGTAACAGCCCTAGTGTTGATAATTCATGTGTGAATCAGACATACTTTTTTCAAGATGAGAGGCTGTTTGATTCATCACTTGCTGAGGACATACTATATGCCAACTATACAGAGTAGTAAAGAGTAGTAAGACATAGACTCTTCCCTCAGAGAGCTTATAGTCTAGTGGATATATATATATAAACCATAGAAATATGAAGTTGAATGCTCAGTGGTATGATGGATATTCCAAGATGCTTTCCTAAAGTGCATGTGTGATTATGCCCAGTATTTATTTCTTTAGGTATTAAAAAGTGCTAGATGTTCTGTCTGTGTTGATTATGGTGCTTTTGATAGCAAGTAATAGAAAATCCTCTTAAGGAAAACTCACGTAGCTGGAAGTCCAGTTAGAGTCAGCTCTAAATGTGATGATATCATAGGATCACTAATTTCATCCAAGACTCAAGTTATTTTCATCTCAGAGCTTTCTCGTCCAGGGCTGATGAAGCCCATCATGTGCTTTCTTGTTCAAATGCAGCAGAAGAGAGAGAAACCATTTCCTGGGCATGGACTCTTAGTCACTTTTCTAAAGTCTGATTGAGACAAATTAGGTTATATGTATTTTTACGGACCAGTAATAGTTAGCAACGGAATACCTTATGCTGATTGGCTTACACAAGATTCCCCACCTCCGCCCCACCCCCGCTTAGATCCATGTGCAGGTTTGATATCTGGACAAAACAAATTCTGTCACAATTGAGGAAGAGGTAATTGGATATTGAATAGACAACCAGATTTCCACTGCACCATCTTGTTCACCTAACAGGTCACCCTGAACGGTCAAATTGAGTTTGTAGGAGGAATTCCTCTCGTAGTTTACTCAAACTTTAGAAGGAAAATTATTGGTAGAGCATAATTCTGATGTTCAGTTTTTATAGAATAAGACAATTAGCAGATGTTCAAAGAACTGTTCCCTGAAGAGTTGTCCTTAGGGAGATCTGAATTAGGATGCTTTCAAAAGCAAGCACTAGAATACCCAACTATGCTGACGCAAGCAATATAGAAAAGTAATTTATCTCCCTGTTAGGAAGTTTAGAAATTAAAAGCTCCAGGTTTGAGACAGTGGCTCAGTGGTGCTTTCAAGAACTTAGCCTTGGCCGAGCGTCGTGGTTCATGCCTGTAATGCCAGCACTTTGGGAGACCAAGGCCAGAGGATCGCTTGAATCCTGGAGTTCAAGACTGGCCTGAGCAATGCAGTGAGAACCTGTCGGTACAGAAAATAAAAACATTAGCTGGGCATGGTAGTACATGCCTGTAGTTTCAGTTACTTGGGAGGCTGAGGTGAGAAGATCACTTGAACCCAGAGGACTGAGGCTGCGGTGAGCCGTGATTGCGCCACTGCATTCCAGCCTGGCTGACAAAGCAAGGCCCTGTCTTAAAAAAGCAAGCAAACAAAAAACCTAGGCTTGTTCTATTTTTCTGCTCTTTATCTTTCTCATCCTTAGGCATATCATCTCTCATGACTATGGTAACTTCAAGCATTACATCATCACACAACTGTTCGAGCCTGGATGAAAGGTAGGCCTGCTGTCTATCAGGGAGTATGCTTTTTCCCAGAAGCTCCCCCACATACTTTCTCTTACATCTCATTGCTCACATGTCTGCTTTTGTGCCAGTCACTACCAAGGGGAATGAGATACTGTGCTTGGCTTCAACCAATCTTAGATCAGGCTCTGGCAACCTGGGGAAAAGCCCACCTTCCTTAACATATTGCCCAAGCAAAACTAGATTTGCATAAACTAAAGAAAAAGGGGAAATGGCTATGGAAGTCAACCAATAGTGTCTGCTTAAGTTCAGCTGGACACTGTGTGTCTAGAGCATAAAATTATGCCTCTGTTTTATTTTAGTATCCATACTAGGAAAGTGTTAGCCTCAAGCTCAGTGTTTCTCAAACTGTATGTGGTGAAGAACCAGCTTTTTTCCCCTCAATTCATCACAGACCAACACCAGGAAAATGAAATAAACCCATACAGATTTTAAAATATACTATACAAACCCAGAATTTTTGTTCAAAGGCCATAGTTTCTCTGTGAGATTGCTATAAAAAATGTCTAAACTCTCACAATTTCTGTCCTTACCCCAGCGTGAATCAGCATGGACCAGTAACAGTTTGAAGACCAGGCTGAGTTCATGACCACACTTGTTGACTCTGCTGAC